ACAATTCCTCAGAACACTCCCCGTGATATATGCGGTAGAAAATGCACAGAGATGCAATATCATGCCGCAAAGCCAATGGGTCGAGTCTGTCACATAGACGTTGATTACCAATGATCTGGCTGCTCGGTTCTGAATGCGGTCAAATGGAAGTAGCTGGTATTGTGGTGCTCCCGCCCAGAGGTGAGAACAGTATTCCATGTGCGGCCGGATCTGCGCCTTGTATAATTAAATCATCAGCCCACTGCAGCCCACTGCTGGACATAGGCCTCTCCCAAGGCACGATCTTCAGCCCTTCTCTTCCAGTTTTTACGTTTTTTATGGCGTCGCTCCACCTAGCCGCGTCTAGCTGTTGTTTTATGTTTACAACAATACAGATTCATTTTTAAATTCAAATTTGAGAGAATAGAGTGACCTCCAGCATGTGCTATTGCAAAAGCAAATAGTCTAATCAGTGTTCGTAACCAAAAAGTCCCAAGTATAAGCAGCACCCGTTCACGAGTATGACGATGTTCCTATACCTTCAATATTATCTCAGTATCTTCAGTAAAACAGTGAGAAGTCTCGCAGATATTTTTTTTCAGTTCTAAGTCTAGTAATTTTTTTCAGGTTAGTTGCGAGATATTCTTGATTTCGCATAATAAAATAGCTACAAGTGTTGTTGCTCTGAGAAATATGTAAATATACTTTCTCGTTGTCCAATCAGGAGAGATATTATTTATATATTTATTTACATACTATCCTCCACTGGTTGTGGTGTGATTGTATTCGTTATCATACTCTGGTGCTCTAGTAGTTTTCTGTTCTGATTTTATTGTACACTAGCCGTACCCGTGACTTCGTCCGCGTGGAATTTAACTTTATTTTTCTATTATAAAAGTAGCCTAAGTTACTCCTTATTACATCAGCTACCTGCTAATAAAATTCCTGTCAAAATAGGTCCAGCCATTTCAGAGATTAGCAGGAATAAACAGGCAGACAGACAAAAATAGTAAAAAACGTTATTTTGGTATATGTGTCGTATTTATATTCATATGCATGTAGTAAAAAACGGTTACTTCAAAATTACAAACAGACACTCCAATTTTATTTATATGTATAGATTATCTACTAGTGTATATTAAACTATCTGTGCCCGCGAATTTGTTCGCATGAAGTAAACGATGAGTGATGAATTTTTAAATTTTTTAACAAACTTTCACCACCTATTTTTTTACCCCTTAAAAGTACAATATTTACAAATTTGAATGTTATATATTAAATACCCACCTTTTAATATATTATTTATGTTTTTTGCTTAATATTTGAGATATATATATATACTAGCTGTCCCGGCAAACGTTGTTTTGCCTTAAAATATAAAAAAAAAATTTAGGGGTGGACTACCCCTAACATTTAGGGGGATGAAAAATAGATGTTGACCGATTCTCAGACCTACTCAATACGCTCACAAAATTTCATGACAATCGATCAAGCCGATTCAGAGGAATATGGGAACGAAAACTGTGACACGAGAATTTTATATATAAGATAACTTAATATATATATTATATATATAATTTCATCCTTTTATTATCAACCCATGTTTTTATTTAGCTATATTAATACTTCAATATATATGGCAAAACCACGTTTTATGGGTATAATACTTATATAATTATTATCAAACCCCTATAAACTTCAAAGTTAGTCAAGTTTCAGGAGTTTCAGGGCATGGCATAATGTGGGCTGTCAGATAAACACATAACACTCAGCGACTTAGAGGGCAAAGACCAGTGATTCCCAAAGTGGTCTATATCGACCCCGAGGGGTCTATGACAAACTGCAAGGGGTCTACGACAGCAGTCATCTTGTAGTTTTTACTTTATGTTTTTAACACTAAACTTTACTACAGTTAGAAATTTACAAAAAAATCAATACCACGTAAGAATGGGGATCTACGAAAACCGAAATATATGGCAAGGGGTCTACACAAAAAAAGTCAGGGAACCTCTGGTCTAGGTGATGGTAAACAGTGACCGTTACCTATATACAAGAACAGCACTATGATTATTATGATACCACTATTACATTACCACCCACCCTTGCCATATTTTTCGGTTTTGGGTAAACCTGGGGGTCTACGGCATGGCAAAATTTTGGGAACCTCTGGTCTAGGTGATGGTAAACAGTGACCGTTACCTATATACAAGAACAGCACTATGATTATTATGATACCACTATTACATTACCACCCACCCTTGCCATATTTTTCGGTTTTGGGTAAACCTGGGGGTCTACGGCACAAAAAAGTTTGGGAACCACTGGCATAGACTATATTTTTTTATTCTTTATGGTTGGAATGGCATCGAGTAAGGTGTGCTGTGACCATTACGTGTAAGGTGGATAGTACTAGTTATGTGTACCTTCCGTATATTTGCTATAAAGAAGAGGGACAAACAAACACACAACTACTATTAACTAGGTGTTACCTGCGACTTCGTTTGCAGACACTATTATCGGTCGAATTGAGGTAATTTTTTGTTATACAAGTTAGTCAGAGTTGAGTTTCTTGTCCCCTCCGATCGATTCCCCGTCCAGTTCAACGGGGATCGATGTTACGACGGCCTGAGCCGAGGTTCGAACCCCTAGTGGTGCCCTCAGACTAAAGTCGTATCCGTCAGGCGGAAGTTGGCCTTCAGCCGCTCCATAAGTCCTTCCACGGGTTTGGAGTGCCATCTGCACTCGCCCCCAAACGTCCGGTGAAGCTGTAAAGGCCAGCTGCGGCCAACAGCATTAGAGTAGTCCGAGAAAAAAAGGTTTCTTGTCAGTTCTTCTTATCTCAAACTGATGGTAGATTTGACATATCATAAGAGTCTGTAATAGACCTACATGAATAAACATATTGATTTGATATTTTATCATTATTTTACTGTTTTTTTTTATTTATTTATTTTTAAACTAACTAAAGCTTGTGTTATGGGTACTAGATAACTGATACAAACACATAGATTTATTTTCGTAAATACATACATATTATACATACAAAACACCCAGACCGACACAAACAATCATACTCATGAATACAAATGTTTATGCCGTGCCAGGAATCGAACCCGCAACCATCGGAAGTGAAGCGGTATGTTCAACCGCTAGACCACCGAGATCGTCATTCTTCAGTTCAAACTTCACTGAGATTAATTGCTAAATTTGTTTAAAGGGTTAAACATACATACATACTTACATTGACAATATAAGAATGGATGTATTATCTACACATCCATATAAATATCTATACATATAAATAAAATTAGAGTGTCTGTTTGTAATATCGAAATATCCGGTTTTTACTACATGCATACGAATGTAAATACGGTACATACACCAAAATAACATTTTTTACAATTTTTATCTCTCTGTCTGTCTGTCTGTTTGTCCGGCTAATCTCTGAAATGGCTGAACCGATATTGACGAGAGTTTTTTTGGCAGGTATCTGATGTATGATATCTTTGTATTGATTGATTGTATGATATCTGATCTTCCATATTATTTTTTTTTTCTTTTTCCAAAAATTCTCATCTCCCCTCTTAAGGAGAGCCTCGGTGGTCTAGTGGTTTAGCATACCGCTTTACTATCCGAGAGGTACAAACATTTGTATTAGTATGATTTTTTATCGGTCTGGGTGTTTTCTATGTATAATATGTATTTATTTAAAAAAAAATCGTCCATGTATTTACAAGTTGTCTAGTATCCATCTCTGCCTCTAGATGGCGCTGTGTGAAGGATATTATTATATTATTATTATAAGGAGAGGAGATGGCAACATACCCCCGGCAGAAGCATAGTCGGCCGGGGTTCAGGGCCCCAGGGAGAGAAACCGGCGTACAATGCGGGCAGAATCTAACAGCACCGCTTTCTGCAACTTACTCATTATTGCTACATAATAAAGTCTAACATCATATTAAACATAAACTAACAAGATTAACCGACACTCAAACAACTATTATTAGAGACATTCAATTACAAAAACCTTTTATGTAAAGTATAATTAACCTTTTTACAAATCAACAGTGGACAATTAACAGCCATAAATTATAGGGTGTCAGCTATCGAGGATCTAGGACTACCACCCTACCAACCTCCCTGTCTACCACCCCCGACGGGTGTAATAATATAACAGTAATATTAGTGATTAAGGGGCATAACTGAATTGCACGCAACCTTTGCAAATATTATTTACTCAAATACAGTTCAGCATACCAACAGACTTTCATAATGTAAGAATAATTGTGTACTAACTCCATTTCTTATATTTGTTATATTGTATGTATGTATGTGTGGTAGAATGTCTTGTCTCTTCTGATTATATTTATAACTAGCTGTACTCGCGACTTTGTTCGCGTGGAATTTAACTTTATTTTTCTAAAATAAATGTAGCTTAAGTTACTGGCTACATCAGTTACCTGCCAAAAGAAGTCCCGCCAAAATCGGTCCAGCCATTTCAGAGATTAGCCGGAACAAACAGGCAGACAAAAATTGTAAAAAAATGTTATTTTGTTGTATGTACTGCATTTATATTCATATGCATGTAGTAAAAAATGGTTATTTCAATATTATAAACAGACACTCCAATTTTATTTAGACCCCGGTTTACTGGTGCCCCGCCAGCGTAAACCGTTAGCGCAGGCGGGTACATCAAGTGGAAGATAATAAGATGCGCTTGAGGTCAGGTCAGTTAGCACATCGTGACAAATTCACCAAGAATTTATCACGATGGTTTCCAGGGAAAAACCTCGTGTAGGTCAACCTGACATGGTACGTTGTTAGCAATAAGATCATCAGGTCACATTACTAACAATCCGCTTGCTTTTGCGTTTGAGTGTTCATAATTGACTATTAACTCTCAAACTGTGTTAAGTAACTTCATGTAAGTCATCATTAATTCGGCATCGGAGCTACCAAAATTTAATATTCAACTAACAACACGTTAGCACGTGTTTGTTTCAATCCATTACAACCCCATTATGGCCATATGTGTAAAACAGTGGTTCCTAACCAGCGGTCTGCAAAAACCAAATTAAAATTTACAACATTTTTTCATCAATTTACAGGTATTTCATCATCTACAACGGATATTTTTCTATACTCGAAATAAACTATCCGAATGGTACTGGTAGAGCTTATTATACCACAGGAAGCTATACCTAATGATCATAAAATGAGAGGTATACCAGCAAAATATTTCTATAATTTTCTAAAAAATCTTAGCTTGTCGAGAATTGGGTAAAGTTGGACTGGCAGTCCTACCCACTACCACCTAGCCCTGTACGTAGATTTGGCTGGGTGTCCTATCCACCTTCACCTAGTCCTGTACCTAGATTTGGCTGGGCGTCCATCCCACCTTCACGTAGTCCTATACCTAGATTTGGCTGGGCGTCCATCCCACCTTCACGTAGTCCTATACCTAGATTTGGCTGGGCGTCCATCCCACCTTCACGTAGTCCTATACCTAGATTTGGCTGGGCGTCCATCCCACCTTCACGTAGTCCTATACCTAGATTTGGCTGGGCGTCCATCCCACCTTCACCTAATCCTGTATCTAGATTTGGCTGGGCGTCCTATACACCTTCACCTAGTCCTGTACCTAGATTTGGCTGGGCGTCCATCCCACCTTCACGTAGTCCTATACCTAGATTTGGCTGGGCGTCCTACCCACTATTACCTAGTCCTGTACCTAGATTTGGCTGGGCGTCCATCCCACCTTCACGTAGTCCTATACCTAGATTTGGCTGGGCGTCCATCCCACCTTCACGTAGTCCTATACCTAGATTTGGCTGGGTGTTCTACACACTATCACCTAGTCCTGTACCTAGATTTGGCTGGGCGTCCATCCCACCTTCACGTAGTCCTATACCTAGATTTGGCTGGGCGTCCTACCCACTATTACCTAGTCCTGTACCTAGATTTGGCTGGGCGTCCATCCCACCTTCACGTAGTCCTATACCTAGATTTGGCTGGGCGTCCTATCCACCTTCACCTAATCCTGTACCTAGATTTGGCTGGGCGTCCTATACACCTTCACCTAGTCCTGTACCTAGATTTGGCTGGGCGTCCATCTCACCTTCACGTAGTCCTATACCTAGATTTGGCTGGGCGTCCTACCCACTATTACCTAGTCCTGTATTTAGATTTGGCTGGGCGTCATATCCACCTTCATCTAGTCCTGGACCCAGATTTGGCTGGGTGTCCTATCCACTATCACCTAGTCATGTACCTAGATTTGGCTGGGCGTTCTACACACTATCACCTAGTCCTGTACCTAGATTTGGCTGGGCGTCCATCCCACCTTCACGTAGTCCTATACCTAGATTTGGCTGGGCGTCCTACCCACTATTACCTAGTCCTGTACCTAGATTTGGCTGGGCGTCCATCCCACCTTCACGTAGTCCTGTACCTAGATTTGGCTGGGCGTTCTACCCACCTTCATCTAATCCTGGACCCAGATTTGGCTGGGTGTCCTATCCACTATCACCTAGTCATGTACCTAGATTTGGCTGGGCGTCCATCCCACCTTCACGTAGTCCTATACCTAGATTTGGCTGGGCGTCCATCCCACCTTCACGTAGTCCTATACCTAGATTTGGCTGGGCGTTCTACCCACTTTCATCTAATCCTGGACCCAGATTTAACTGGGCGTCCTACCCACCTACACGTAGTCCTGTACCTAGATTCGGCTGCGCAGAGAGAGTAACATGAGTTGTAATAATTGACGTACATCAAGAGTACCCTTGAACCTACACCCGGCTCACAAGTCCCGGGAACTGCTTGGAGTTTCCCTTTATGTCTCACGATGTACCCAGCTTCCGCAGGGAGAATCCATGGAATTTATAACTTTGCCAATTCGTCTTAAATAGTACCGTTTACTCGTTATAGGCTTTGTATAAAGTCGTCAGTTTACGTACCTATGTCTCCGATATTTCAGGCACTAAGCAGTTTGCTTGGTCACCTTACAGCTGCAGAAGAATTGATAGTGAAAGTACAGGATATGAAGCATGTAACCTTAGTCCTCTATAATGACGTAACAGCTCTGACGTCACCTATTGACGTCAGCTTATTGTTCATGTTTATAGGTAACGATTGTAGCTTCAGGTGGATCGTGTTTTTACTATTCCAATCATTAAAAAAAGATAATAATAGTTGAGGAACAGACTGACTGACATCACAATAGCATAAGACATCTTACAGTTTTTCTAATTTTATAAATATATAAATTTTATAACATACATGTATTATATATATAAACCTTCCTCTAGAATCACTCTATCTATTAAAAGAAAGCGCTTTAAAATCCGTTGCGTAGTTTTAAAGATTTAAGCATACATAGGGACGTGACATTGACACAAAAGGAAAGAGACAAACTGGAAGCCTTTGAAATGTGTTGTTGGAGAAGAATGGAAAAATAAAATAAGGAATGAAGAAGTGCTTGAGAGGATTAAAGAAAGATCATAGATATTTTTGAGAATAGGCGGGGAAAAATGTTGGGGCACTTGATACGACACGACGAACTAAATAATAACATTATTAAAGGAAAAATAGATGGAAAGAGAGGAAGGGGAAGACCAAGACACAGCTATATCAAGCAAGTTAAAGAAAAAGTTGGAGTCGTGTCGCATCAACAGCTAAAAGGACTGATGGAAGATCGTGGAAGGTGGCGGGAGCTCCACCGACAAGAGCACAGCTCTTAAATTATGAATGAATGAAGGGACAGCGGCAACGACTTATACTATGCAATGATGATACATTACAATATCGTATTTATGTTTTACAACATTCGTGCTCTACCATTACCCACTAACTACCATCTCTGCCACAGCGTTAGGTTGGCTGGAAGAGATCTCTTTCAGAGATAAGCCCACCCTTTCTCACATTTATACAATTATCTAATTATTTTACGTCATACGAGCAATAAACTATGTAAGAAGTATAGTATAGTACCAATCCTACTTACTACTTGTTACAGCGTTTTTTCTTTATGTAATGCTACTTTACATTCAGCCGCTTCCCCTGCCACTCGCGCTGCCGGAAATATTGCCTGGCGACAACTGAGCGAGAGACCTGAATGTAAAAACACGCTGCCAATCGCGCTGCCAGTTCTTAGACTCGCGCACGAGAAACCGACAATCGAGGGAGCGCCGGGCAGCGCGAGTGGCAGCGCCAATGGCACGGGAAGTGTCACTCGTGTTTACACTCTCGCGCTGCTCACTTCTCAGCCCACTCGGGCTGAGTGTAAATTGGGCATAAGAAAAAATTTACATTATTCTTATGTTATATACAAAATTCCCATGTCACAATTTTAGTTACCATACTCCTCCGAAACTGCTTGATTGATTTTTCTAAAATATTATATGAATATTCAGTAGGTCTGGGAATCAGCTACTATCTATTTATCATACACCTATGTGAGTCCTAAGTTGTCCACCGCTAACGTTTAATTTTACTTTTAGACTATATTTATAATACAAATAATAAAATCTTACTGTGTTTTTACATTTGAGCCTAAATAAATTAGTGCTGGTTGGTAGTTTGTATTCACACGTTTCGACTTGTAAAATGTGAACTTACAAGGATTGTTTAAAAGAGGAACACACAAGTTTCTAGCTTATTCTTCTTGCGATGAGACAGCTTTCCTAATAAGCGGTAGATTTAAAAATAAAATGTTGACTATTCAAAAGTGCTTAAATTAAGTTTATTTGAATAAATGATTTTCTATTCTATTCTATTCTAATGGAACATAAAATACAAACAACCCTAAATTTTAGTAGGGTTTATACAACCAATCAATTTTGTAATAGCGATTATAATTCACATGGCAAAACAACGTTCTCTATCATCATGATTCAACAAATTATTCGCAGCCCGGAAGAAGCCAAAATAAAAAAAAGGTTGGGAGTTACTGGTCCAAGCAGTCTCTGCCAGATCATAAATCATGCTTATCCTAATTACTAGGGTCTTTTGCCAATTATTTTCGTTTCAGATTTAGTGGTCCAGTGAGAAGCTGCGTATTTGTTAAAGTAAGAAATAATGTTTTTTTTTTTCATTTTTTTTTAATATTATTATTATTTGAGTATTCGTATTAGGGGAGAGGGGATTGTTAGTAATGTGGACTAATGATCCCATTGCTAGAAATGTACCATGTCAGGTCGACCTCCACGCGGTTCCCCCTGGATACCATCGTGATAAATTCCCGGTGAATTTGTCGCGTTGGGCTAACTGATCTGACTTCATATTCATCTTATCATCCTCCACTGGTGCCCCGCCAGCGTGAACCGTTAGCGTCTACTAAAAAAAACTGCTTGCATTGATGTTTACTTATAAATCAGCTTTGCACGGGTGCATTAGGAATCTTTGAATTTTTCTTGTTTTCTGTACAATAGTATTGATGTATTATACATATCTTTTGAATCACTCTATTTTATACTAAAACTGCATAAAAGTCCGTTGTAAAGTTTAAAAGCTATGAAAGTACAGACAACGACGGGAACTTTGTTTTAAACTATGTAAGGACATACAAATCAATTTGAATTAAAGAACTCAAAAAATAATGAAAATTTTTTTACTGATTTGTATTTTTTTAAAATTATTATTATTTGTAGGAGAACCGTTAGAATAGAATAGAATAGATTGGGCGACAAGGGCTGAGGACAGGAGATAGGTCAGCCGTTCAGTATTGGTATTAAACAGAACACACATACAAACATACTTTTTCGCATTTATAATCTATGTATATATAACTCAAAGGTGACTGACATAGTAATCTATCAACGCACAGCCCAAACCACTGGACGGATCAGGCTGAAATTTGACATGCAGGTAGATGATGACGTAGGCATCCGCTAAGAAAGAATTTTGATAATACGGGTTGTATCAAGCGGACAAAATAGGGGATGAAAGTTTGTATGAAACTTTGTCAATTCAAACCGATAGGGCTGAGACTTTGCATGCATAAAGCTACTATGACGTAGGTATCCCCTAAGAAAGGATTTTGATGAATTCCTCCACTGGTGAAGCCGCAGGTGAAGCTAGTCTTATATATAATATTCCGTTGTCAGAATGTTAGTTACCATACTCCTGCGAAACCGTTTGATCGATTTTTACGAAATTTTATATGCACATTCGGTATGTCTGAGGAACGGCTACTATCGATTTTGCATATTCCTAAAAAAGGGTGCTTGACAATGCTCGGACAAAGTTCAATAAATAAAAAAAATATTTTTATTTTTTTTTATTTATTGGACAGCATTTTTTTTTTATATGGCAATAAAAAATACAACCCCAAATTGTCACCCATCTACAATCAACCCCTATTTTTTAAACTGCGATTTTAATTTATGTGGCAATACAACATTATACAAGATCAGTAAGTTATTTATATTATACAGAGTTATATAGAATCAAAATAAATACATTATCACTGAGCAACAATCTTTTGATTCGAAATCATTTCATCCGATAATATAACGTAAACAAAGCGGTAAAAACACCATAGTCCGTATATGAGGAACCAATACACTTTAGGGCCGGTGTACACAGTCGTAAAAATGTAATCAACGATGAGCAAGTGTCGGGCGACGACCCCTCGCGTGTGCACACGGCGTTAGCGACGCGTCGATTGCAGAATAGAATAGAATAGAAAATCATTTATTCAAATAAACTTAATTTAAGCACTTTTTAATAGTCATATTTTTTTTTAATCTACCGCTCATTCGGATATCTGGCTCATCATAAGAAGAACGAGCAAGAAATTTGTGTGTTGTTCTTTTAAACAATCCTTGTAAGTTCATTATACAATTCGAAACGTGTGAAAACAAACTACCAACCAGCAGTAATTTAAGATTGTATTTTTATAGAATTACAATGGAAATTAACATAAATATTAATAGGATAATAACGAAATCGTTGCTGCAAAGTCGGGTGGAGTGGTGCCGCGTGGAGGTTGATCTTTTTTTTTTTTTTTCATTTATTTAGGTCAACAAACAGTTACACATTATATATATGACTTATGGCTACTTACTAATAAATTTTAACAAATGTGTCACCTACTACGTTAACCACTGATTACTATAATTATACAATACTGCCTAAGGCATGTACATGATCTGACATGGTACATTGCTAGCACCCATTGCTGGTCATTAGTCCACATTACTAACAATGCCCTCCCCCACGGGTGTAGGTTAGGTTAGGAAAACTGTCTCATCAAATATAAATAAAGAAACTTGCGTGTTGCTCTTTTAAATATATATAGTAAATTTACATTTAATTAATACAAACTACCAACTAGCACTAATTCATTAGAGTCAACATATCAGATACACAACCAACTGGTTGAGTAACTAAATAAGAGTAAATCAGTCGTAGTGATTAGAGCAGACCAGTCCGTACACTCGTTCATTAGTATGACGGATACTCATGATATTTGAGAATTTCAGAAATAAATTAGTTTGCAGTAACGGTTTCCTGTAATATTTCTTATTAATTTCCATTGTAATTCTATAAGAATGCAACCTTAAATTACTGCTGATTGGTAGTTTGTATTCACACGTTTCGAATTGTATAATGTGAACTTACAAGGATTGTTTAAAAGTGCAACACATAAGTTTTTTACTCGTTCTACTTATAATGAGAGAGTTTTCCGAATGAGCAGTAAATTAAAAAAATAGGGCACCCGAGCAGTGAAGGTGAGTGTTGAAGTGCAT